ATATTTATGTTTGTGGTTGTAATGTGACAAAATATGGAAAAGTTCAAGGGGTATAAATACTTTTGCAAACCACTGTAAATGAAAGATTTTCTCAGGAAAAATCCACAATTATATTAGTGTGTTCACAGTAAAATAAAAACAGTGATTTACATAAAAACACAATGAAAACATTGTAATCAGATTCTCTGTGATTTTTTTATACCATTATAAATCTTTAAGGCACGATAAAAGAAAAGAAGTGGTTCCACTTCTCATGTGACAGTCATTGTCATGATTTAACAAATGCATAAATAATCTTAGTTAAACAACAAATGAATCACGAACAGAAGAGATTTTTCTATCCATTATCTGATTAAGAGAACTGAGGGGTTCTCTTCCACGGTTGGAATGACCTGTCATGGCCTAAATAGAGTTCAGTTTGTGACAGAGTTCCTGTCCTCTCGTCAGGCCTGTCCGAGGCCTGCTTCGAGGCAGTAAATCTTGTTTCTTCACTCGAGATGACCCCTACAATAAATATACAATACAAAGGCATACAATCATAATCAATATAAAGTCAATTTATAATCATCCATGCTCCCAAAAAGATGTCATCACAAACACCACGTATGGAAGAAAAAAAATAAATCTAAAATAAAACATACATTAAAAAGACTAACCACTTAATAAAAATCATTTCAGGCAATTAAACACACCTACAATATCCAAAAGCAAGAATCACTCTACAACAAGTCATCCTACATACTCTTAAAATCAAATACTCCACTCACATCACACATTATGAGAGCAGGTTTGATTTAGGAGAAGCCATTGTTTTGTCATGCATGAAAATCTATGAAAATCTGTACATATCAATAGTTCTGTTGGCAAAGTGTTCCACTGTTGTATAGCAACACTTGAAAAAGCTGATCTAGCAAAAGAAGTTTTACATTTAGGAACTCTACACTCACCACGAATGGTTGAACGTGTGATTCTAGATGTTTTTCCCGGAGTTAAGGGATACAAATTTCTCTCTGATCTCTGATATAAACTATGTTTTGGTTGTTCCTGGTTCTGCAGCTCTCGGTGTTGAGTTACTGCAGTTTGTCTTCGTGATGAAACTGGAGCTGCAGGACGCCACCGACACTCTGGATGTGTTCCTGATGAAACACGCGGTGAGTTGAAGATTCAGACGTCCTGCTCACTCACACCAAAACAACCATTTATCACCAAAAACACAAAGTTTCACTTTAACAACTTCACTGAGAACAATAGATGGTACTATCAACTACATACTGTTTGTAATAATTGTAGTTCTTTCAGTGTTCTCCTGGTCTGCTCCATCAGATTCAAACATCTGAGCTCCAGCTGTCATCATCAAACTAACTTCAATATTACAAGAAATCCTAAACACGCAGCAAATCTGTGAGCCAGATTTATATCGACTCATCACTACATTCAACACACTGGAAAGGAAAATGTGTTTTTCACAAGCACGGGTCACATTTGTCTAAATACAAGTTAATTTTCAACTCAGTAAAACGTGCACTAATACACAGAACAAGCTCAACGTTTCAAAATCTGCTAATTGACTCAAAACAATGAATGCTTGTGTCATGTCTTCACAGCTACACACTCTAAGTTAAGCAGGAACACAGACAGTGTGAAATCAGTCGGGTCTTCATGAAGATCTGACCTGCTGGTTCCACTGGCTGTTTGGGTTCCTGCGTGAAAATCCAGAAGAACTCAAATCTGTCAGAGTTTCAGAAAGTACCAACATCATGGCAGTCCTTCAGTGTTACTGAGTGTTCGTATCGTCTTCAGGAGCAGTTCTTCGGTGTGTCAGCAGAGGACGCTTCAACCAATGAGGAGGCTCAAAACAGAATCAGTCAGAGCATGAGCATCCTCTGTCCACCAGAGGGCAGTGTGGGTACGTCAGTCAAAGTTAGCCACAAAGATTTTTCTACAGTTGATAAACAGTTTTTACTGAACTAGCTGTGCTTTGTGCTGTTAGTACCACAGTATTTGTATTTGTCTGTTTTTTATTAAACTTTGATGAATTGAGAATCTATCTGGTAAAGAGTCACTCAGTCAACACCTTTTTTGGGATTCTTTTATCTTTCATTATGTTTGTATTATTTAAGAAGAAGATATTTTAGTGACCCACGCGACCCTGAAAAGGAATAAGCGTGTACAGAAAATGGATGGATGGATGGATGGATATTTTTTAAACAGATAGATGCACTAACACACATTTCTACACAGGGACATGTTTGTTCCACAGCAGAGCTGTGAGTCTGATTCCTGCTGCTTCATCTGCAGCGGGGTTAAATACGCCTCACCTTTGTAATGTAACTGATGTTGGATTGTTCGTCAGGTCAGCGGCCGTGGCTCGACCTGTGTCTGCTGGCGTACAGAGCAGAAGAGGAGGCGGGACAGAACCAGACCTGCTACCAGATCTGCAACACGACCCTCCTCACACCTTCATCCACCCTGCCTAAAGGAAGAGGATGAGCAGAGCAGAGCCGTGCAGGAACCAATCCTGATTGTTCCTCTGATGTTTGCATCTGTCTTCATATGTTCACATATGTAAATATATTTAAACAAGGAACTTGTATAAAACAGTAAAATGACAAGTTTGGTTTTGTTTTGATGCTCTTTTTTTGCAGCCTGATGTGACTTTTATAGATTTTAAAATAAAAAGAATAAAGCACAACATTTGATATTATTTGCAGCTTGATCTATTCCTGTTAAACAAACAAACAAACAAAAAGATTGTTTTATCTGCAGCAGATTTTTTTCCACAGAATTGTTGCATCATGTTAACAGATGTGGACTGAACTGATTGTAGCCCTTCAAAAGAAAATAAAAAAAGATCACTTAAAGGGGACCTATTATGCAAAATTCACTTTTTAAAGCTTTTTTTAACTCAACTTTGGGTATGTACTTCTAAAAAAAACAGTCCTAGGACCAAAAAATTCACCCAGGGGCATATTTACTGTAAGTAAATGTATTTTTAATGTATATTAACGACAAGTTTTATACTTCCTACATGTTGTGATGTCTCAAGCCGTACGACAACCCACCGGAACCTGCGTTCAGCCCCTCACCTAGCAACCCCCGGGTGAAGCTCCTCCTCCTCAGTATAAAAGCCGTCACGGTTGTTGTTGTGCAATGCGCAGCTGATTTCACAACAAGCCTCCAACAGGGCAATGGGTAGAGTATTGGACCAGGGAGTGGGAGACCAGGGTTTGAGACTGGCACAGACACTATGTAATTATTTATTTTCATTCAATATGAACACATTTTCTCATGTACCTCTATTGTTTCGTTTATTAAAGCCTTGTTAAAGCC